GGAGGATGATTTTTAAACAGAATGAGGTTCAAAAAGAGGCAGCAGCTTTTTTCATAGAATCATAGAATATAAGGGTTGGAAGGGACCCCAGAAGGTCATCTAGTCCAACCCCCTGCTCGAAGCAGGACCAATTCCCAGGGGCTCCCAAAGGGGAACTTGCAGAGGAATAGATGAAAGCACTGTTTTGCATAAAAGAAATCTAACTTAGAGTGTAGTCAGGCTCTATAAAACAAATTAAGATGATTTTACAATTTTACACAAGCCGTGGGAACAAAGTTTTTAAGAGAGTTATCCTCAACTACAATTTTTTGAGACGATGAACAGTATTTCACTCTGATCTAGTTAGTATTATATTCACCAAAGGTTGAAAATTGTACAATAATGGAGCCAGAATTTGTTGGAGACTAAATGTATGACATACTACTGCTATGCATGTTTTCCCCCCCCACTCAACCTTATAACAATTAGCATTAAGATTGAGAGTGTAAATTAATTTTAGTCCAAAAATTCAAAATTTAAGAGGCCTGATTCTCCACTTTATTACACCACTTTTATGTTAGGGTAACTAAATCCATGGGTTACACTGGAGTTCCACTTACACTAGATTGTTCCACAAATCAAGCACAAGATTCCTAAACCATTGTTAAATCAGCCATGTTGCATATATGTAGGGTGACTAGATAGCAAGTGTGAAAACTTGGGACGGGGTGGAGTGGGGGTGTAATAGGGTCCTATATAAGACAAAGCCCTTCATATCGGGATGGTCCCAATAATATGGAATATTATATGGGATATATGTAGTATTTTTGGCCAAGCGAAGCAAGGCCCTACACCCAACTTGATGGCATTTCTCACCACATCGGATCAATTCCAACATTTCAGGGAATGTTTTAGGCATCACTGGGAAGAAACCTGTTGATTTTGGTGAAAACCAGAAGTAGGGAAAATTGGGCAAACAGAGGTTATGGCTTCTGGTTAGCACAGCAGCTTCAGCTACCTCTGCAATTGTCTATAGTCATGGCTCTCAACCTTTCCAGACTACTGTACCCCATTCAGGAGTCTGTTTTGTCTTGCATACTCCAAGTTTCACCTCACTTAAAAAGTACTTGCTTCCAAAATGAGATGTAAAAATACAAAAGTGTCACAGCACACTATTACTGAAAGATTGCTTACTTTATCATTTTTACCATATAATTATAAAATAAATCAGTTGGAATATAAATATTGTACTTACATTTCAGTATATAGTATAAAGATCAGTATAAACAAATCATTGCATGAAATTTTGGTTTGTACTGATTTGCTATGGCTTTTTATGTAGCCTATTGTAAAACTAGGCAAATATCTAAATGAGTTGATGTACCCCCTGGAAGACCTCTGCATACCCCAAGGGGTATGCGTACCCCTGGCTGAGAACCCCTGGTCTATAGATCAAATAACCAGTTGGATGACAGCCATTAGTATCTTCCAGTGTAAAACACCACTTCCCATTTCAGCTCTGCCCACAGTCCCAATAGGTTTTAAAATGCTGGCACCTTGACTTCTCTTCCAGACAGAAAGAAAATAAATAAGAATGGTAAGGGGAAGGGGAGACTTTGGTATGGAGGACAAAAGGGGAGTTGGAGGGGGATGGGAGGGTGGCACACAGGGAGCTTGTGGGGAAAATGAAGGGATGCAAGGAGCCCTTGGTGTGTGCAATGAGCTCAGTTTACAGAAGCAATGGAGTGTGTGACCCTCTAGTACTTTGAAGGTATGCATTTTACAGCATAAACAGGAATACAAAATCCTAAATATATGCAACGTGCCCTATAATGTTAATGTATAAAATGCTAATGTTGTTGTATAAAATGCAACTTTCCTATGTTCCTCTTTTTGTGCAAGTTCTCAGCCGTAGCATTAGACTAATATAGTTTTTCATTTTTTATTTCCCTGTGTTTTTTAAAAGAAAAATGAAAAAGAGGGAAAATGGTGTTGGTGGACTTATTTGATTCTGTTCTCACAGTCAAAGTAAATATTACGGCACAATATAGGGATCACACATTCATTTCTGTAAGTGCACTTCCTTATGACACTGGTGTGGTTTTCACACAGGTGTTTGGGGGAAGTGCTCACTGGTGGATGCTGCTGAGAGCGAGGGGGGATCTGGGATCTGGGCTGAGAGGCTAGTTGCAGTTTCATAGATTCATAGATATTTAGGTCAGAAGGGACCATTATGATCATCTAGTCTGACCTCTTGCACAACGCAGGCCCCAGAATCTCACCCACTCCTGCAAAAAAACCTCTCACCTATGTCTGAGCTATTGAAGTCCTCAAATCGTGGTTTAAAGACTTCAAGGAGCAGAGAATCCTCCAGCAAGTTACCCGTGTCCCATGCTACAGAGGAAGGCGAAAAACCTCCAGGGCCTCTTCCAATCTGCCCTGGAGGAAAATTCCTTCCCGACCCCAAATATGGTGATCAGCTAAACCCTGAGCATATGGGCAAGATTCACCAACCAGATACCCAAGAAAGAATTCTCTGTAGTATTAGGAAGAGGCCATGGGCTTGTGAAGTGGAACCAAATATAGGGGATTGTTAATGAGGTACATAGAAGACGGTTAATGGATTTTTGATGGGACGTTAGTGGCAGCAAGAGTCGGGGCTGTGGTCTTAATAGGGGAATTTGTGAACCAAGGCTTTCTCAGGTGGGGATTGGACAGCTCCATAGGCCCTGACTCTGTGGGAGCTCTAGGGCTGGAACACCCATGGAAGAAAATTAGTGGGTGCCCCCTTTGCCCCTTGGCGCCTCCCACCCCTAACAGCCCTGCCGATCGACTCCTCTACTGCCCTCCCAGCGCCTCCCGCCCACCACAGATCAGCTGTTCTGTGGTGTGCAGGAGGTGCTGGGGGGAGAGGGAGGAGCAGGGACGGGATGCACTCGGTGGAGAAGGCGGAACTGGGGGGAATAGGCGGGACGGGATTGGAAATAGTGGGGGTGGAGGCTTCGGGGAAGGAGTGGGGTGGGGGCGGGGCCTGAGACGGAGCAGGTGTGGGAAGGGGCAGGGTGGGGACTTGGGAGAAGGGGTGGAGTGGGGGTGGGACCTGAGGCGGAGAAGGTGATAGTTGAACACCCTCCGTGCAAGGAGGAAGCCGGTGCCTGTAGAGAGCTCCCCATAAACATCCACAAAAATTTCCTCATTTCAGATCCCTCATTCAAACCCTCCTTTACTGTGATGCCTACAAAAACATGACTACAGTTATGCTGCTGGTGCACTGAGACCACGGCCTAGCATGCTGGCCAGCACTGTCTCATTGTTTCCTTTTAGTCCCTCATCAGTCTGTATCCATCCCTTGTCTCTTGTCTTATACAGATTGAAAGCGCTTTGTTATTATTATTTATGTGTATGATAGTAATGCCTCGGCACCCCAATCATGGCCCAAGACCCAGCTGTGGTACGTGCTGCACACACACACACACACACATACACACACACAGAGAACAAAAAGACAGTCTTTGCTAGGGTGACCAGATGTCCCAATTTTATAGGGACAGTCCCAGTATTTGGGGCTTTGTCTTATATAGGTGCCTACTGTCCCCCACTTGCCTCACACTTGCTTATCTGGTCACCGTAAGAGTTTACAGTCTAAGTGGTAGAAAGGGCCAGAGGGCTGCTGCCAATGAGAGGCTTCTGGGAAGATACACTGGGAGGGAAAGCAGAGTAGGCATTTTTCATCAGCAAAGTGCCTCATGATGTGGCTGGGACTGTCCTCAGTGGCTCATCTTCCACATCCAGTGGCTCTGGTCCCTCGTTCTGCTCATCCTTGGGCTGGTCTAACCTGAAGCCACAAGCCAGGAAGAGCAAGGAAGGTGGAACGGTTTGGCTCCTCTCCACTCCACCAGGTCTAACCCTTCCCTACCCCACCCAAGTCTCTGGTTCTCAACCCTCTCCCCTTGCTGAACCACACACACAGGCTGGAACCAGGGCTGCTGGCTTGAAGTGGTTCCCGTCCCATACAGGGTTTACAGGTTGATTCAATGGCTCTCAGCACCCCCCATATAAATTTTTCCAGCTCCCCTGCTCACCCAGTCTCCCCATCCTTCCCATCTCTTTCTAGCTCCTGCCCCTTTCCTTCATCCGCCCCCTGCCTCTCCCACCCAGACCCCTAAGCCCACGCCTGGCTTCTCTGGGGCAGTGAGCGGGAGGGGAGGGGAACTGCAGCCACCGCTGGGGGCGCTACAGAGCAGCGACCTGCGGCAGCAGCGGCTCGGGAGGGGGAGCATCCCCGCCTGCCACGTGACTCACAGACTGTAGTTGGGCTCAAGCCCCAGCCGGGCGTCGAGCGGTGTCCGCCGCCCCCCTCGCCCCACACCGCACCTCAACGGGGGCAGGAGCGCTGCGGTCACGTGGGCCCAGAGTGATGTAATTCCCCTCCCCCCTCCTGCCCCTCCCCGAGCAGTCGGAGCGTTGGGAGCTCGCTCCGTGTGTGTGGCTCGCGCTGACCACCAGCAGCAGGAGGAGGGAACTTTCCCCGGGCAGCTGCGGCTCCGCTTTCCTCTCCCCGGCCAGCGTGTCGGGCGCGGAGCGTGTGCGGCTGCGGAGCCGCAGGCGGCGGCGGCAGCAGCAGCAGCAGCCGCCGGGCAAGGAGCCTCCATGGGGTGAGTGTCCCCGCAGAAGTTGGCATCTGTTTATCCAGCGCTCTCTCTCTCTCTCTCTCTTTTTTTTTTATTGTGTCCTGTTCCCACCCCTTGCTTTTGTGATTCGGAATCCAGGGAGCGGAGTGGCCGGGGAGGAGGCTATGAATAGGGGCATTGTGTGCATGGCTCAGCCCGGAGAGAGCGGGGAGGGGAAGGAGGAGGCGGCGGGCGGCGAAGTGGGGAGCCAGCTGCCTGCTCCTGGGGTCTCTAGGAAAAGCGGGGCCGGAAGGTGGTGCCTGTGGAGGGCAGAGATGAGATGCACGCCTGCTGGAAGGAGGGATGGAGGGAATGAATGGGCGAGACAGAGGTAGAGGAGCTCTCCAGGCTGGACCCTTGTCGCTTCCGTCTCTCCTCCCGGAGCCCTGAAGTTTGGCGAGACCGGGAGGGAGGCAGTGGTAGCAGGCAAGGATTTCATAGCCCCTCTCCTTTATTATGATTCAGTTCAGCCTGGGATTTCCAGGGCTCGGGGCGCTGCCTGGACTGCGTGAGTGGGAGGCCTCCTCTCTGCGGAGCGGTGGAGGAACAAGTTTCCTCAAGGAGAGGGAAGAGTTTGCAGGCGGCGTGGGTCGCTGTGTTGGGCTTTCTGCTCTCTGGAGCAGGGGGAGATTTCTCTCTGCTCCCCTCCCACCAGAAGCTGCTGATGGTGCGTTTCCTTTAGCAGAAAGTTAAGTTCTCCCCCCCCCGCAGCGCGTCTGGGTTTGTAGAGGCTCCAGAGGGCCGTGCACAGCCGCCAGTGACTCAACGGCAGCTTTTTTTTTTACTCCAGTCTCTCTCCTGCGGTGGGTCGCATCAGGGCTTTGGAGAGTTGACAGCTGCAGTTCATGTGTGAGTAATAATAGCGCAGCTTTAGTCAACTTTAAGGGGTAGCAGTGAGCATCTATGGATTTCTCTCCCTAAGGAGCTCCTCCCCTGCCAAGGTATCTGTCTCACAAACAGGGTTTGGGGAAAGTTCTCCGAGCTAGTGGAATTTGTTCCACATATATATACACACACGCGCACATACATATACTGGAGTATTTTCACTTCTTTTTGTTGTTACGTTGCTGAAGCTCTTACTCTAAATGCCAAAGGTTTCTGTAAATAATGCTTAATCCTTTCCTCTTTTTTTTTATCCTCACATGGGATTTTTACTATTTGTGTAGCAAAAGGATGCTGGCTGGCACTGTTTAACAGAAGAGGTTCTAATTCTCTTGATCAGAACCTGCTATAGCTTTATTGCGAATAATAAAATACCTCACTAATGTCCTTGTAAAATATCGCATTCTAAGCTGTAGTTAAAATTGTCAGCATTTTCATTAAAAGTATAAACCTCTCCTGGTGTTTGCAACTCTGTTGGTGAATTTTTTCTGCACCCAGAAGCATTCATGCACATATACTCAGGGAGTTATGAGGACTGAGTTTAAAGTAACTTTTGAGAAATGTGAGCAAAACAGACGTGTGTGTGTGTGTGTGTGTGCACCCCGCCCCTTTCCAGTTTTTTACTCTTTAAGATGGGCCTGGTAGGTACCTTGTCCTTAAAGGGACTCTCTAAGTTTAAATTTGGCCGGAATAGGAATGGTTTCTTCCTTTACTTTCCAATGGAATTTTTTTTTTTGAAAGACAAATTTCCCAGCAGTCTTGGCAAAACAAATATTGTAGAGCATTCTGCCATGGCATTAGAATCTGAGAGTAAAATGATTAATCTGTTTTCATTGTTCAGGCTCTGAAAGATGCAGAAAGTAAAGTACAGTGATAGTGCAAATAATACAAAGCAAGCTAGATTCTTAACATTCAAAGTTACTCTTAAGTAGCATAAGGATGCTTGCTTTTTTTAGGGTTTTTTTAAACCGGATGATGTCCTTCCTATCTAATTTTACTTTTTACTGTTATGAACTAAATTTATCTTAAAAGTTCATAACTGCAAAAGTAGCAGTTTAAGGGGATACTGAGGCTACAAGGTTTCAGTTTATTTGAAAGAATCTTGTCAGCTCAGAATTTCCCCGCAGGTGACAATTAAAAATGGACCTGATTAGTAACCCAGTCAGATCCACACTGGAGTTCATATTTCTAATTCTTACCAATCCTGTGAAGAGGATTTTCCTTCCCCCTCTCCTTTTTTTGGCTGTACTGTGTTACTTATCAAATCATTTTAGTTTCTTACTGAAAAATCTACTCTTACATATTTCTCCATTTAAGACTATGACCCTGTAATAGAATATAAATATGGTTAATGATTATGCATGCAAAACACCCATTGTACTGACAAATTTTAAACATTTATTGTCCAGTTCTCAGTTGTGCATTTTGAGGCCTCTTATTTAGTGCCATCTCTCTGCTGGTTTCAGAATAGCATTAAAAAGCTTAAAACACTAAATATATGTACATTACTAGAACAGACACTCTAGACTGATTAGGTGGAATTGATAAATCTCTAGAACTGCTTAGCTTTTGACACACACTCATAAAGAGAGGTAAATGAACTTTTTTGTATTTGCTAAGCAAAGAGTCGCACAACAGCCACATAAACAGAGATGTGAAAGAGCATTTGAGAAGAACAAAACAGGGTTTGTTTAGAACCTGACATTCTGTCTGACAGAGAAGCAAAGTGCCTTGCCAACATTTACCTGTATACCATGCACAGCAAGAGTCTATCTTCCAGACTCCAAAATATTGGGAATATGTGTATGTACCATTCTCTTCCCTAATCCAGGAATGCACCTATCAACATAACAAAGAAGCTGGTTTCCCCAAAAACAATTCATTACTTAAAATGGGTAAGGGAAGAGTGAACAGAGCTGCTGATGGAAGTTTTCATGAAAGGGTTTAATAACGCATCTCTGTTCACTTTTGATATAGCCCCACTTGGGCACCTCTCTGCAGCCCCATTTGGTGGGGCATATGCATTTAATAGGAGAACAAGAGGACTGGAAGCTAAGTTTCTATGCAGTTCTAGGTTTTTGTGAAGGTTAATGACACAATCTTTGCTCCAGTTGTAGTAATATCCACTATAATCAATTCATTCTGGTAGCTGAGTATGTTCTGGTTCTTGTGGCATGGTGGTGATACCTGAAATAACAATAAACAAAAATGCCTAAAAATAGAACTAATAAATCTAAAGCTTTAGTGTTGTGTTCTTTGCTGTCTCAGGCAGAAACTAAAATAGCCAAAAGAAAATGGCTTTTGAGATTTATATCAACTATCTAGGCAGGTTTGTGGTGGCTTCTGTGGGTCATGACTTCACCAGAAGATATGCATTGAAATTACTACTATTCTGGCAGTAGTTTTTCTACTGTCCATAATCTTTAATTCTTTTAAGAGGTGTTTTATATTCAAAATTGTGAAAGTCATACTTTTAATGATGGCAGCTTAAGTAATAAACTATTGTAGAATCTACAGTTATCAAACTGTTTGAGATAAAGTTGGGTTTGGGGTAGGAAGGAGAGAGGGCTAAATTCACCATTGGCATTTACAGCTGGAAGCTGGTGTAAACCATTATAGAGGGCTTCAGGGATGGAAACTAAAACAGACCTGGTGGCAGCAGCGTTAGACAGTCCCAGTTCCTCCATTTGTTATTGCAGAAGAGAATGTGAAGTGGCAGCTTGGCCTGAAAAATGAGTGGTGTTGGCACATAAGGGAGTGTGGCTACTAGGATAGCTGGAGGGGATGTTGAATCAACAGCATTTAGCAGGTGATTTTCTGTCCATCTTAGGTACTTGTATTGCCCCCATTACATTCCAATCTGAGCCCTTCACACTTTAATGTATTTATCCTCAAAACACCCTTGTGTGGTAGAGAAACACTGCTGTTCCTACTTTAAGGGTAGGGAGTTGGGGCACAGACAGACAGACTGACTTGCCCAAGATCATACCAGAAGTCTGTGGTGTAGTAGGGAATTTGAAGCTGGGTCTCCCAAGTCCCTGAGTAGTGCCTTAATCATTATACCATCCTTCCTTGGTATTTATATGTACAGTATTTACAATGAAGTCAGTCTGATATATTGACATTGCATCCTGTCCCTAAGGAAAGGGTTTTCAATAATACAGATATGAATGGGTGTTCTCGAGGGGCAGTGTTAACATGGATTCATGGGTTAAATTGCACCCATGCCACTCTGGGTGTTGCAGCCTGGTGCACAGGGTTGCAACGCCCAAAGCGGGAAGCCAGGTCCCTCCTGATGGGACAGGAGCCGCAGCTATGCGGTGAGTGTGGGATGGGCTTACTCTCTGTTCCCCCTCCCCCAGGGCCTCCCCTCCTCATTCAGCCAGGATTGTGGGGTGGGGTGAGGGGTGCTGCTGTGGTTGGTTGGTGCCTCCTTGGCAGTTTAGTATAGTTCACTCTGCCCCCAGTGCTCTCAGTACTTAATTGTAGGGTTAGTGATGTTGATTCCTTAACAGGCTGAGCTTTTCTCTTAAGTGTTCTATGTAGCAAGGCATACATACGAATTGAATTAAAATGGCCTCAGAAAGTCAAAATAAAGATCACATCACTTCCTTTCTCAATCAGGTTTTATATCCTGCTATAGAATATTTGAAAACTTTTCTTAGTGTGAATATTTCTTCAATGGGGTAATATCCTCCAGGGAATCATCTTGTGGTAGGGACAGGGTTTGAGGATGAGGTTTGACACACATTAAATAAAGATACCGTTCATCCCTTCTTAACAATTCCCGTGTTTGTTTTCTCTTGAGCTACTTTACAGCATTCATCCATAAAGCAACATTGTACAGCCTTGGTTTTAAGATTAAATCTTTATACTTTCCTCATGCTTGCTTACTCCTGTAAGGAGCAAGTTGTCTGATGTGAAGTATCTTAAAGGAAACGAGTAGCAGGTACTAGCTGTTGTGAGATGCAGTTCTCGGAATGCCTTCTGTGCTGCTATTTGAACAAATAGGTTGTTCGGCACATCTCTGCTGGTTACATCCCTTGCTCTTGATTGGGCACTGTTGCTTCTTCTGATCGCTCTTAAATCTTTAATACAATAACAAGTGGAACTGTGGCTCATGTAGTCTTTTTATTTTTATTTGTAACTAGATGCCTCAATCCAAATCCAGGCCTTGCTGTGTAAAGTGCTGTACAAACAGATAGCTAGAAACAGCTGCTGTCCTGAAGACTTTGCAGTCCAAGTAGAGAAGGAAGACACCCTCTTCTTCCCCCTTGTATTTCTGTCCTCCCTTTTTAGAGAAGAGGAACTGAGGCACAGAGAGATTATACTTGCCTGAGATCATACACAAAGTCTGGGTATTGGGCCCATATTTCCTAAGTCCCAGAGAGTGTTTCAAACCAAGACCATCTTTTCTCTGTCATTTTGACTAAACGCTCTCAATTAGTAAGAGGATTTTTCCCCATAATTCCCATGCCACACTTGGCCTTCTGAGGCACCTGACTATGAAGGATTTCTCAAGAGGAGTAGGCTTTGGACTGCTGTAGGCATTGTTGCCTGGCTGATGTCAGCTTGTGATTGACAGCTTATACTAGGTTAGAGATAAGAGTACACTAGAGCAATCTTTCTCACCCCCCTTCCATCTTCCTCAAAATAATTGTTTGCCCAACTGAAAGAGACACTGGCAGCTTGAAATCTGTTTGGTTTCTAAAGCTGAGATTAAAGTAATTTAAATCATTATACCTGCCCTTGCCCCTGCCAGTTTCTGTGGTCTTACATTTTCCT